GGAAGAGGGCGCTGCGCCGGATCAGCATCCTCGGCAGCGGCGCGAGTGGCGGTGCTGCGGCCGAGGCGGCGTCGGCGGCGACTGCAGCTGCTGCGGCTGCTGGGACATCGCTGAGTCCCGTCGAGGCTGGACTGACGTCTTCGCCGGTCGCCACCACGTCGTCGTCGTCGTCGGCGGTCGAAGCTGAAAAGTAGTGGTGTGCTGGACGCCAGCCATCGCACGGGCGGTCGGTCGAGCAGGGGGGCGGGAGGGGAGGGCATCCGTGCACCCGGGCACCTGGATCGATGTATACCAAGAGGCGTCTGCGTCTACGTCTGCGTCTGCGTCTGTCGAATCATGTCGTGACACGAAAAATACCACACCATCCTCACCATGACCGGGATATTCTGTATGTTTGCCCCCGGAGGGGGGGGGGCAGGCGGCCATGGACGACTTGGGGCCCTTTTCAATGTGTCATGCACGACGACGACGACGAAGACGACGACGACGATCGTCTAGCCAAGGAAATAGGTACGAGGCGGGGGAGGGGGGGGCTACCGAACTCCAGCACCGAAGAGTACGCCGCCGGAGCCGATATGGGAGCGGGTCGAGGCGAGGTAGTAGAGGTACGCGGCGGTGGCGACGGCGGCGACGAGGAAGGAAGAGTCGAAGAGGGAGCCAAAGACGATTTGGAACGACGGCAGTGTCGCCAGTAGCGGCGGTGGTGTCGTCGCCGTCGTCGTCATCGTCGGTCGTGTTGATGGTGATGATGAGGGGATGATGGAAGAAGGAGGAGGAGGAGGAGGAGGAGGAATGGGGGAGGAGGAGAGGGAAGGTGGTAGCGAGGTACGCAGTTGGATCAGCGTGGCGAGCAGGTAGATCGTCTGTCGTGGTTCGTGCCGTGTCGTAGTCGTGTCGTGTCGTGTCGTGTCGCGTCGTAGTCGTGTCGCGTCGTGGTCGGGTCGTGTCGGGTCGGGTCGGGTTGGGTTGGGTCGACAAAGGAAGGAAGGAGTGAGTGAGGACTCGAGGCTGGCCACAACGACGACAAACGATAACGACAACGACGCCGACGACGAAGGACGTACCATGACTTCGCTGAGGAAGAGGACGAGGAAACACGTTTCGACGCCGCGGGATGCCGACGCCGCTCGGAAGGCCTGTTTCGCGATCGTGCCGTGCCCCAGCGCCAGCGCCAGCATCGTCGCCATCGCCATCGCCGACCAACCCGATGGACCAATCGAGAAACAAGGGATCCGTCCTGTCAGTCAGTCCAATCAACGAACGATCCCGCAACGCTCCCAACGATGATGCGGGTCCCTCCCTCTAGACGACACTCACGCGGCCAAGGTACGAGAGCACGCTGCCGATGCGCGCCCAGATGAGGACGCCGACAAAGACGAGGCTGATTTGGCGCGTCCACGCCGCCACGTCGACGTCGACATCAAACCACCGCAGCACCGACGCGAGCGCCAGCGAGATAAAGTCGGGCGGCGCCGTATCCCGGTACCCTAGGATGACGAGGTTGAGCAGCGACTGTTCGATGGAGCCCGTAGGTCCCCGAAGAACGGAAAAGAAACGCGACGGGACGGAACCGCGAGGAGACGGTGTCAGTGACAGATGGATCGGCTGCACGGACGCGGGGACCACAGCCGAGGCCAAGCACGGAACCCACCAGGACGATGCGGAAGGCGCAGTACAGCGCCCACACCCAGCCGATGGCCGTCAGCAGCCGGCCGGGCACGGTGCGCGAGCGCCGATCCCGCTTCGACAGCTCTGCCATCGTGTCGAGGTCGTCGCGCATCGCCGATGCGATGGCAGTCAGCCCAAAAATCTCCGCCTTGAGCGTCTTGATCTCTGCGCAAGAGGCACGGCGACGAGGTGGGACGGCGCGGGCCAAGGTCAGTGCGAGAGGGCCTTCGATACCGCCGATTCAGTCCAAGGTACGCACCGCGAGACCGGGCATCGCCGCTCCACAGCCCGCTCAGACTCCACCGGCTGGCTGCACCGCCACTGCCCTCGGCGCGGGCGACTTCAACCTCCTTTTCCAGTCGCTGCAGCTCGTTGCGCTTGGCCTCGAGGTCGGACCGAGCCCGGTCGTAGGAGTCGTGGGCCAGGTTGATGTCGGACTGAGTCGGAGGGCGTCTATAGCGGTGACGACATCGGCGCGGAAAGAGCAGAAGGAGGGGTTGTAATCAGCGCCAGCGCCGGATGGGCGGTCTCAAGGGACGATGCGCTGGATTGGTGAGCGAAGGCGAGCGCGACTGACATGGATTTACCGCGCCACTGCTCGACGGCCTCCCAGGTAGCAGCCATGGCCGCTGAGCCGGACAGGACGGCGATGAGCGTGACGCCAATGACGGCGGTGCGTGCGACGAGCGAGTCGAGGATGCCGGACCGCTTCTGGGGCGACGAGAGCGCCGAGGGGAGGGGCACCGAGAAGAAGAGGACGAGCCAGGGGATGAAGGGCAGCGAGAGGTAGACGAGCCTGCGAGAGAGCGGGGTCGAGCCTTGTTGGGGGTGGTGGCGGTGGCGGAGGCAGGAACAGGATCGAGCGGCTCCATCAGCGCTCAGCAGGTCGCGACCGAGGCCAGACTGAAAAGGGGTGCGTCTTTGGCGAATACTCACTGTCGGAGCGGTAGGTCAAGAGCAGGCAGATGCCGAGCGGGATCCATACAATGGCGAGCTGTACGACGAGCATGACGCTGGCGCGAAAGGCGCCGCGGAGCGTGCTGCCGTCGGACGTGTCGAATCCGGCCGCCTCGAGGAGCACGGCGACGTAGAGGGTGGCCGTTTCCTCGAAGGCGAGCGAGAAGAGGAAGGCGGAGCAATTGTGCAGGTCGAATGCGCCGTTTCGGGTGAGCCGGAGGGACCGGAGCAGGGTTCCCACCCGATCTCGGAGCGTCTTGGACGTTGTCCGGGCCAAAAAGGGTGTCGACGACGAGTCGGCGACGCTCGAGTTGTAAATGTCGCCATCGCCGTCCGAGTAGGGGTCCATGTCATGGACGCTGTGGCGCGAGGACGAGGTGGAGAGAGAGGATGTGGCGGGTTGCGGCAGGGAGGATGCCGTCGACGGCGGCGGTGGCTGGTCGAGGGAGGCATGGCGGGCCTGGCCAAAGAGGAAGGGGAGGAGGGCCCTTGCGCCCACCCAGAGCCCTAGCTTGAGGCCGATGGTGAGGGCCACGTCTGACATGGCATAGGGTGCAAGGACGGCGACCGAGATGGGTTGCAATGCGTTGCGTTGCGATGCGATGCAATGGCGGCCTGACTGCGGTCACGGTATGGCAGCAAGAGAAGCCGATGGCGGTAGTGGTGGTGGTGGTGGAAGAGACGGAAAGGGGGGGGAGAGGAGGGCGTGGGAGAGAGCCAGAGGCAGCCAGCCAGCCAACCGCCGGCCCGGCTGGTGGTTCTTGGGCCATGCACGCAGGCTTCACCGCCCCCTCCACACGGCGGGCCGTGGCCCGATGGGTCGTATCGAGTGGGTGGGTGGCATGCCCGATGCTAGGAAGGCCCGGGGCCGGGGCCCGCCCATCCGAGCAGCGGGTGTGCCTGCTGCTGCTGCTGTCCGTCGCGCCGCCTCGCCTCGCCTCGCCTCTCGGCCAAGACAGACGCCAACTGCTGGGCGGGCGCGTGCTTTTCGCTGCTCACAGGGGTGGCAGCCCTGGCCGCGCC